GCGAGCCTACGCGCGCGTCAACTAATCCCGTGACCCTATCCCAACGCGTCCAATCAGGTCACATGCGAATGCGCTTGACAATCACTTATTAGCCACTGTTACATCTCAGGCGGTGAGTTGCAGCACGGACTGCGAGGACACCACCAGTCCGCTGCCGATTGCCGGACTAGCACCGAGACGGGACAACAGCGCACAACCAGCGGCAACTGTCACCCGGGAAAGCAACTCTGGGTTTTGTACACAATAAACCCTAGTCCGGGTGGATGCCAAACTTACGCCCTTCTTAGTATGTTCTTCCTTGGGGATTCCAAAGGATGTAATTCAACGGTAACATCACAAAGTGCCACCATTACAACAATAACCAAATGCAGAGGGCTCACAATGTCTACAAACTAACCATGACTTTTGGACGCAAGACACGCGGTTGAAGCAGCATATGTTCAGAGCAACCACTCTGTGCTCATCCCTGCAAGCTGTAAAGATGACCCTGCTCACTCTGAAAATCTGAAAGGTGAATACTACAACTTTCAGCGAGATCTGATTTGCCGAACAGGGACAACTAGATGAGTTTTGTGTTGGCCAGACTTTCCTCTTAAAGGTCGTCCAAGGGCCAAGAAGCTGGGTGTAGGAGTCGCCTTTGCCATAAAAACGACGCCATGGAACGATTCCTCTGTCTGCCGCAGGGCACCAAAGACCGTTCCAGGACTCTGCGTTTGCCACTTTAGGAGAAGGAATTCGACAACAACGTCTGCGCCTACATTCCCTCCCCCCCAATGTCTAAATCTATGAAATGACGACCTAATTCTACGCAGACCTGAATGCCCTCCTAGCCGCTGTGCCCCAGGCTAACAGACTGATTTCTCTTGACGAATTCCACGTCGGCACAGAGAGTCCTGTCTGGAAGGGATTGCTGGTTACCCACGGAATCGAGGCGCGCAACAAAATGACCCCTTCTTCTACAGAAATGCCTAGAGGCCAACCACCTCCGTCCTCAGCTTGGCATTGGCGGCCATTGGACTGCGTTTCCGTCCTAAAACGAAACCGATGAGCCGGTGACAAAGGCAGCCGACGAAGTTTACTGTTGGG